GCGTTAGGATTTCGTGTGTCATATCTATTGTACAAAATTCAGTAAACATTCAAAATACCACATGGCTAGGGAAACGAATGCTCGAACAATGTACGTATGATAACACCAAATATTTATAATTCAGTAAAACTCTTTATCTTTTCCAGTTTATCTTTTATCTTCATGTCAATGTCATTCAAAAACATTTACCTTCAAAGTCATTTACTGATTTCTTGCATTTAAATGCTTTCTTTCTATTTCGAATCTTTTACATTTCAAAAACTCTTTTACGTTCCATGTTCTTATATTCATGCTTTTTACATTAAAAACCTTTACCTTCAAAGTCATTTACTGATTTCTTGCATTTAAACGCTTTCTTTCTATTTCGAATCCTTTACATTTCAGAAACTCTTTTACATTTCATGCTTTTATATTCATGCTTTTTACAGTAAAATCTTTATATTTCAAAGTTACTTACTTGTTTCTGCATGTAAACATTTCTTTGCAATCAAATATTTATTCATACAATTCAGTTTCGTATGTTTTTACTTGATCATGTCATTAGATCCTTTTAATATGGTAATCGAAGTGAGTTGAACGTTTATAAAACATTTCAAATACAAGTCCTAACTATGAATATCAGTTTTACAATTAGAGTTATCCAAATGACCAATACCCCATAGGATCAATCTAGTCGATCCTGCAAGTTACCAGAGAGATTAAATAACAGTCATTAAGATTATTTGATAGTTTGGAGGACTAGCGGTTGTTTACCAGAAATCACTGTAAACAGTAAGTTGTCCCAAACTCAAGATGTTGGTCTTGAGATCTGGCATATAGTAAACATCTTCGATTGATCCAATCAAGCCATCCTTCTGCAAGTAACTGATTGTGCCCTTTCCTTCGACCTTAACTTTCGATGCATCTCCGAAAGACACATTACCATCTTCAATTTTCTTCATTTCTTTAAACAGATGTTTGTAACCACACATGTGATTACTTGCTCCTGAGTCAAGATACCAAACATTGTCATTATTGGTGTTGATTTGGTTTTGAGCCATCAGGAGAAAGCCTTCATTTGCTTCAGGTTTCGAGGCTAGATTGGTTGTTTCTTCAATCTTCTTTTCGATTCGACAATCTTTTGCAAGATGTCTCACTTTATCACGGTTGTAACATTTGTAGGAGTTGCAATCCTCCGCGTAATTACCATACTTCCCACACTTGTAGCATTCGAAGTTGGAGTGGTTTGATCGACCACCTCTTTGACCACGTCCCCTGCCACGCCAATTTTGTTGGTTTGATTGTCCTCTTTCGAAGTTGCTACTTCGACCATTGTCACGACCTCCACGCCCATGTCCTCTTCCTCGAAAGTTTTGAGAAAAGAGTACTTTTCGTCTTTGTTCGACTCCTTGGTTTGTTTTACTTCCTCGACTGCTTCTTTCTTCTTTTTCATCTTTCGTTGTTCATGTGCTTCGAGAGAACCAGCGAGCTCTTCGACTGAGAGCGTCGAAAGGTCCTTCGATTCTTCTATTACACACACAATATTCTCAAATTTATCTGTTAAAGATCTCAAGATCTTTTCAACAACTCGTGCATCAGTTATTGTTTCGCCATTTCTGGTGAGTTGATTCACCACCTTTTGTACACGTGTGATGTAGTCCGATACAGTTTCGGTCTCCTTTATCTGTATCCTCTTCAATTCTCCACGAAGAGTTTGGAGTCGAACTTGCTTCACTCGATCTGCTCCTTTGAACACTTTTTTTAACGTGTCCCATTCTTCTTTCGACGTAGTTGAACCAACAATCTTTTCAAAGCCTGATTTGTCTACAACCCTGAACAACATGTATAATGTCATTTTATCCTTCGATCGCGTCTCTTTCAACGCCTTATTTTGAGCTTTCGTATATCCCCCAACATATGTTGGTTCTTCAAACCCATCTCTGATCACATCCCACGCGTCTAGAGATACAAGAAAATCTTTCATTTGGATACTCCAGTTTTCGTAATTTGATTTTGTTAGCCGTGACAACAACATTTGATTCATCATGTTTGCCATTAGCTCTGATACCAATTTGTTAAATAAGGAGCAGACTTTGATTGCTTGTTGTGTTAGAAATAAAATACAATCTTGGTCTTTATATAGATCCAATGACTTCTATTATTCTTAAAAAAGTAACTGCTATTAATAAAAACTATTATAACCCACTATCTATTGACATTCCAAATTACATTTGATTCTTAATCTTTCCACTACCTTATTTAATAAGAAAAACCTACTACTAATAACATTAAAATTTATTCAACGGTTTTAACTATCAGAAGGTTAAAGGTAGTTAGTTGACCATTCAACTATTCAAGCTCTGATATCACCGGCTTCAACATAGAAGGCTTTTCATTATGCTGACCCGTGCATTGATTACAGTTTCAGTATTTTCATACGACCCGTCAAGGTTAATGATAAGCAACCTTAACCACTTTTCTATTGCTGCTGAGATTCTCGAGTTTGAATTCCTGATCGACTAAAGTGGTATTCTCAATAACTCTAAATTCATATGGAAGATTCACATCTTTAAAGTAAACAGATGGAAGATAAAAATATTGATTCATTTTTGTGTATGATTTTCTAAGATCACATATTACGTACTTATATATGTTTCAAACTATTATCAAGCATACAAAAAGTGTTTGGACAATCTCAACCATCAATTTAAACATCTTAAATGAAAAGAAAAGAAAAAAAGTACCTTCCGATTTTTATGGGTGCCATAAAATTTTGGTATCCCGAATATGATATATATTTGGCGCTCGTGAAAACACCCACTGAATTATCTATAATTTTGGTTTATACACGTCTCTTAATTTACATATCCTATAAAATATTTATTTAAATTTAAAATAGTATCATATTGTGCGTCTGTGTGAGTATAAATGTGAATTGCGAAATTGTCACTAATTTATTATAGAAATTTAAATAAATTATAAAATATTAAAATATTATTAAAAAAATAAAAATATAAAAATAGACTGAAAGATCATTGTATAAATTTTTAAAAATAATTATTATTAAGAAAAACTATTAAATATATACTTCGAAAAAAAACAATTGTGAAAAATAGAAAAAAAAATTTATAAAAATCCAAAAAAATAATAATCTAAAAGAATTAAATTTAATATTATATCTACTAAATTTTACATAAAAATTTAATATTATATCTACTAAATTAATATTATATCTTAATTTAAAAATAATTTCAAATATATATATATATATATATATATATATATATATATATATATATATATATATATATATATATATATATATATATATATATATATATATATATATATATATATATAGATTAAAAAATTATGAAAAAAAAAATTATATTGCATTTGGATTATTACATAACTTTTATTTTTATTTTCTTTTATTGTACAAAAAAATATAGTAATTTGTGCGTTTTCACGAATTTTGATATGGTTATATGTCCGCTCACACAATACTGATGTGTTATCCTTACATCCGTATGAGAACTGATGTGGTACGCATACTTTTGTTTTCAAAACCTAATATAAATATAAATAATTAAAATAAAATTATTATATACATAAATAATTAAAAAAACACATTTTTCTCATATTTTGATTAATATATTATTTTAACTTTTATTTTATTTTATTGTACAAAATAGTAATAACACTTGCGCTCGCAAGAATTTTAGTATAATTATCTGTGCATTTATACGTTATTGGTGTGTTACATGTGCGTTCGTACTAGCGTTCGTACGAGTACTAGTGTGATATGCACATTTTTATTTTTAAAATATAATAAAAAAACAAATTTATTTTACCAAAATAATTTATTATTTAAAAAAAAACATATTTTTAACATAAAAAAATTTTATTTTACCAAAATTATTTTACATCAATAATATATAATTTTCAATTTTCCAGATCTATCATATGTCAAAAAGTATTGGTGTATAACTATTCATTCACACCGCTCAATTCATTTGTGCATGCTTTCAAATGTCATGTTCATAAATGTGTGGTTGTGTTATATAATTTTAAGTACTTTGTTTAAGTAAAGTCGGTAGCATGTTTCTCCGTCAACAATTAAGATAGAGAATAGAAATTAATATATGTCACTAATGAGAAAGAAATCAACTTTTTAATAGATGTTCACAATCTTCATATTGAATATTGAGAAGCCTTACGACACAATGATACACTTCTTTCTTAAAGCAACCTTCAAAATCGGAAGAAACAAACTCTTTGATAGAGACAACTAAAACATCTATCTACCAATAAATTATTCTCACACCCTTAAATATTTGTATAAATATCAAAAGGTAAAAAACACCATCCATAATAAACAAATGTACTGTATTACACACAGCTATTTACAAACTCTTGTATCATATTGTAATTGTTGTACAAAATATATAGAAGAGAATACACAAACAAAATCAGATGAACTAAAAGCGCATGAGAAGTTTTACATTGTTGTACTTTTCTCCTTTGCGAGAATGTAATAGATCAGCTCGAATTCCACTTCTTAGTTCCCACACAGGTAAACATGTTTGCACACCAAAGTCATCCTTCTCAGACATGTCATACTCGTGAACTTCTATACGAAGCAGCGCCAACTCCGGAACCAAGAGTGAGAATTCGAATACCTTATTCCAAGAAGGCAACCAACTATCCTCTTTTGTTTTAGTTTTTTTCATAATAATGTCCGAATGGACTCCAGCAATCCCCACATGCATAAGAGTTTAACAGATAGAGTTGAAATGATAGAAGCTTTAAAGGGAAGTTATCACTTACCATATTAGTTATGTACTTATAATATATAAGTTGTTTTCATGAACTTTCTTGAAGAGGCTATGAAAATAAGTTGAAAACAACTTATCTTATGGACATGTCATAAGTTATTTCTATAAACTATCGCAAACAGTCACATAAGTGCTTGTGTCAGTAGATAAATTAAAATAAGCTAATCCAAACAATAATGTAGATTATCTTACCCTTGCATAGAAGGCTGGAGGTGAGAATTGATCAAATTCTATATGCTTGAAATCATAATACCATCCTTCCCTCATATATACTGTCTCCTAATAAAAAGTAAGAAAAGCATTGTTAGAATATAGTATAGAGATGCTTGATGGGAAGAGGCATATAATGTACATAGCCCTTGTAAAAGTCACACAAATCTCCATGCAGTAAAGGCCTTACCTTCAAAGTAGTTTTCAATGGCAATGAAGCTTTAGGATCAAAAATCTCATTATTGGGACCGATTTTTAATAGAAAATATGGTTTTTTAACAAAACCATACCCTCCATTGGTTTTGAACATTCCTTGCATCAACCAAAGAGATCTCCCATACCCGTCACGGAAACCACCGATGGAACATATTAGTAGAATTCTTTCGTAATCTAATATCATAAGTAGATAAAAGACTTGACATCGTTGAATGTGTGTAATGTGTATTAACAATGCATTGATACAATTGGAAGGAAATGTGAATTAAATCTCAAGTCCTCACCCTCACCACATGAAAAGTCATGACAAAAACACAAAGGACATAAAAAATGTAAAAATCATCCAAATTTTCATTCAAAAATAAATTGGTTTTCATATACCCGCAGGACTTATGGTGTGAGATCAGATTGAGACATTGGTTGATATATATATTCTTCCTCTACCCTTTCTTACAATAAACAGAAACCATCAGAGCCGAGTCTTTCCCCTTTCGCGTGAGCCAACGCTATTAAACCTGAAACAACAAACACTAAATCAAAATCAAAATCAAAAGAGAGAGAAGACGAAGAAATCAGAAGCCCAATGAAGTTGGGAGTGAGAAGACGAATGAAAGAGAGTGCAGAGCAGAAGAAGAAGTGTGAAGGTAGGGAAGTGTGAAACGGTGTAGAAGCAGGGAGAGCAATGGGATGGGACATGAAGCAGAAAAGCAAGGCGACAAAAGTTTGTAGCGCATCGAAATTTTGTTCTGTTGCAAAAGTGGTTCAGTTGAAATTTTTGGCTCAGTTAGATATCATTTTCCAAACGACATAGTTATCAATGTAATATTTAGTTCCATGATTACGAAAACGTGGATAAAGACCAAATATGCCCTTAAATTGATGATGTGTAGCAAGATGACAAAAGGGTAAAGAAAACGTGGATAAAGACTAAATATGCCTTAAAATTGATGATGTGTTGTATCAAGACGACAAAGGGGTAAAATGAAGTTTTCTACAACCTTCGTTGTTCTTATATGATAAATAGTTTCGTCAAAAAAAAGTTATGATTTGTACCTAACTTTCCAAAAAAATACCGAACTTATTAAATTTTACTAGTTTCTGAAGAGCATTTTCAAAATCTGTACGATATAAATTATGAAAGGGTCAAATTGACATTTTAAAAATATGTGAGGTGTCAGATGGATTGTCAAGTAAATTCCTCAAACTATTCCCTTACCTAACCCTTTCTTAAACTACTTTCTTTTCCTAAAGTGTTGAGTGTTTTGCAGGTAACTTTCCTTATACTCAACTATTATTAAATAGTAATTAATGGATAAATAGGCTTTGGACTTTGTTTAATTAGCATTAGTTATAATTAATTTCTATTTCTGCTTCTATTATCAATACAAATAAGGTTTAATAACTCTAAACATTACACAAAATTACAAATTCTACATTTAAAAAATCAATTTACAACACATAAAATTTGGACCCCTCATCTGTATACAAAATGTTGCTTCAACATCCCTCATCAATATGCTACATATATCACAAGAAAAGTTTAACTCTCTTTCAATGTCACTGAATTCTGCAACCTTCAGTTGAACATGGACATGATATGATTACTATGTTAAACTAAATCCTATTTCTTCAACAAGATACCAACAATTTGTCCCGTTAAGCCAACTCAATTGATAGTTGTGTAAGGACATCAAATCCAGAGGCGCGGGTTCGATCCCGCGACATCTCCCTTATTCACCTTTATTCCCCTTTAAAAGGTGAAATTTCAATCACTAGACTACTTGACAAAAAAAATTCCAACAATTCCATCAGTTCACTAACCAAATCAAGCTCCGATATCGTCGGTTTCAAGTTCAAACCCAAAACAATCAACATCGGAGGCTTTTCATTATGCTGACCAGTGCATTGATTACGGTTTCAGTATTTGCATACGAGCCGCCGAGGTTAATTGCATGATACTCCAACCCTTTCCACCGCGCAATGTACGCAAAATGTGGACGTCTGAACTGGCTGCTAATGATCTCTAGAATCACAGTTTTAGGCAATGCAGATACTATGTGAGTAAGACCAGCACCGTGAGCACCAATGATCACCGATGCATCTTGAATAGCTTGAACCTGCTCTTTCATAGACATGTGCGCGAACAATCCGTTGACGAGGTTGATTTTACATCCTTTGTAGTTAGACGCCCAACTCTTCAAGGATTCGAATACCTCTGCCTCGTTAGTTAGTCTTGATTCAACTTTACCACCGTGACGTGGATGAGCTAAATAATCTTCCCGACGAACAAAGAGGACATTATGTCCTCCAGAGACTGGTTTTCTGACATGGTTTAGGTTTAAAGGTAGTCCAAATGCTGCTCTTATCATTTCTCCAAACTCGGAAAGACGTGCGGTTTTTAGGTCATCAGGCTTTTGCTGCAATTCTTGTGCTGAAGCTCCATCGCAGATTACTTCTTCCGTTAGCCCTTTAAATAGTGCAGTCTCGTATCCCAAAGGTGAGAGAATAGCATGGCGAAAACAAACTGTTCCGGTGAAGTTTTTAGCATATCTGACGCTCGAGAATAACGCTTTCCATGTCTCTTCAAGTTGAGCCTGAAATTTATTGGAACTAACTAATAAATTAACAAAGAATTTCGAATTCTGCAAAGGCAACATAAAAGATGCTGCATGCATTTCAATTTTTATGTTTTCAAAATGAGAAAGTAAGTAAACAAATATCAGAAAGTTGAAATCAAGGGAAGCAGATTTAGGAAACTGATCATGCATACCATACAGTGTCCATCGACAAAGATCAAATGAGGTCGATTAGGCAAGCCAGTAACTCTAGAAGAAACATATGCACTGTACCAGTCTGTAATAGTGTGAAAAAGATTTGCATATTCAAACCGTGTCACCAGAAGTGTCGGTTCCTCGATCCACTGCAAATAGAAAACCTCGTGTCAAAGGCACATAAAAACAGAAGTTGTACAGAAAGCAATAATACAGTAAACTATATCTTGCAGTTAAACGCTAGTTATTTTAAGAAAAATGTTTTCTAGTGTTAGGTGCTCTTTAAAAAAAAAGTAAAAGAGTACATTTTTGCATTGAAAATTGTAAAACTTAACTTTTTTTTAATAAATAATGTTTTTAATTATAATCCTTAAAGAATGTTCTTAAGGCACACACTAACAACAACCATATTGGTTTAAGAGAAATCTACAACAATAATCGAGCTATATCTCATTAAATGGGTCGATTACATAGATCAAACTACGCCAGATTGTTCTATCAAAAATCTCACTAAATGGGTCGATTACATAGATCAAACTACGCCAGATTGTTCTATCAAAAATCTCACTAAATGGGTCGATTACATAGATCAAACTACGCCAGATTGTTCTATCAAAAATCATATTTCAATCCAACTTATTAACCTCGAGATCTTTCTTATTAGTTTTTTTAATAGTTTTTCTAGATCTCCTTCTACCACTAACATTGACTACTCTCCATCTCATCTACCCTCCTTACTACAGAATTCACGGGTCTTCTCTCGGCATGCTCAAACCACTTAAGCCTAGTAGCTTCCACCATCTTTTCTATTATAGGTGTTATCCCAACACTCTCTCTAATATTATCATTTATAATCATATCTCTTCCAGTCTTGCCACATACAACATCCTCATCTGAGCTACACTTAGTTTATTTCAATGTTGGTTCTTTACAACTGTCCGATAAAAAATTTCATTAGTTTGAGCATGAAAATTCCAGTGTTAGTCTAACGCATAAGACATTTGAGGCTCCCGTCCAATTCAACCACCCAGCTTTAATTCCACGGTATATGTCTTCTTCTATTTCTCCATCGTTTTGTATTATGGACTCAATTTAAACCATGTACTTTATGGTTCAATATGACCTCCAACTTTCACATCCAAGTTAGAAACACTTTTCTTTTTGCTAAATTTACATTTCTTATACCCTGACTTAATTCTGCTCAGGTGGAAGCCATGCGCTTTTAAGACTCATCTCCATCCTCTCATTTAACTTCTCCTCCGAAACCTCCCCCAAATATCTTGTGAAGAAAAATTCATTTATTTTCACCTTTCAAATGTCACCACTTGATCCATGAAGCCATTTGTGGCTTCTTCTTTTTGCTCTCTTCTTAACTCTTATATTCATAGTCAATATTCTATGTTGGAAGTCAAGCTCTCTACAAATTTAACTTTACAGTACAGGAAAATCTCCTTATCTAGTTTCTTAATTAGTTATACTTCAAGATGTTATGCTAACTCAAAAATTATATCTCCTTATCTCCCAAAACTTTATTTTAAGGTCTTATGCTAACTCAACTTGAGGTGTGTAAGCGCTAATAAGTAATAACATTGAAAGTGTCTTGTTCCACTATAAATTTCACGACTATGATCCAATCTCCTACCCTATTTACATGCACAATATCCTTTTTTTTTCATTCCTTTTCAACACTAATTTTTACCCTATTTCTCGATCTAACTTTGTCGATGTACCAAAGTTTAAATCCTAAGTTGTCAAATTCTTTTGCATTTTGACCCATCCACTTAGTTTCTTGTAGGCACATAAAATCGATCTTCCTTCTAACTATACTATCCACTATTTTCATAGATTTTCTTGTAAGAGTGTCTATATTTCATGTTACATAACAACTCTTACACTCTTCTTTACACACTCGTTCACGAAAATATGGAAACCCTTATTTATTTTTCATTGCATTCAAGCGGCAATGCATGGACCTTGCTCATTAAACATTATACTCAAGATATACCGCCTGTTGCTCCAGACAATGACTTAGCATTCACATTATTACGTGTTTAATCCATATCAGAGATTCCGCAAAGTTTTGTTAGAATTAATTTTAGATTTTATAATTAATTAGATATTAATTTATATTTAAGAATATCTTTTAGATTGTTTATATCTTTGTTAGAAGATATATATCTCAAATCTTCTTATATCTTTGTTAGAAGATATATTTTAGATTTAATTTTATGTATAAATAGCCTAGTGGAGTAGGTTATTGTAATTCATTGTAAATCCTTATTTTGAAGCTGTCGGTAAATATTCCTTTTGCCTTTTATCTTTTCCTTGTGCACCAACAATTGGTATCTAGAGCTCCTGGTTACAAACTCTGGATTTGGAAAACATTGTTTCATTGATAGAAATTCTGGGATTTGGGAAACATTGTTTTTTCATTGAATTTCTATGTAAATTGCACAAGGTAGAAGATGAACAGAAACGGCGGCGATATTCATTCCAAGCTTCCAGTATTTGATGGCAAAAACTGGAATCGTTGGAAGATCCAGATGCGCGTGTTATTTGGTGCTCAAGATGTGTTAGATCTTGTCACCGATAGCTATGATCTGTTAGAAGCAGATGCAACAGAGACCCAGAAGATAGCACAGAAGGCGCTAAGGAAGAAAGACCAGAAGGCGTTGTTCTACATCCATCAATGTGTGGATGCAAATGTGTTTGAGAAGATTATTGATTCTGAAACAGCAAAGGCTGCGTGGGACACACTGATCAGATGTTACAGTGATGACACATCAGTGAAGAAGGTGAAGCTTCAGTCTCTCAGAAAGCAATATGAGAATCTCAACATGAAGGACAACGAGAAGGTTCCTGAGTACATCTTTAGAGTGATTCTGATCACTAATGAGATGAAAGCTTGTGGAGAAACTCTTTCTG